AAAGCAATATGGTTTCACCACACCACTTCGTGGTGTGGTGAACCCATAATAACCCCAAAACCCAAACCTCTGCTTGGAAAGTAAGACGTGGCGTGTAGATTACACTCTTACACCTTGCGCAACCGTGCGAGTGACGTGCGAGTGACGTGCGTCGACGCCACTCCTTCCCCACGTTTTCAGAAAAAAACGTAGCAGACGTTAATTAGCCTCCCAAAAAACGTACGGACAAAAAGCACGTACGGCGGGTTGTGACCAGGGCTTTACGGCCATCGCTCAGAGCTAACTGCAGAGAACAGATGAAATAGTGAAACTATCACGTACACTATACTTTCTTGCTGACCTGCGATTTACGGCAGTATACTGTCAGAATGAGTTCGTTTCAGGGAAAAAAAATCAAGTTATGATATGACACAAAAGCTGGAATCATTAAGCCCTCACCGTTTCTTGTGCGGATGCCTTTTCAAGTCCCTTCCTTCCTCGCTGAGTTGTTGTTGTGTGAGACGCTGTCGTGGAGTCTCGCTACTCACACCAACCCCGACCTGCCTTCACGTGTTGAAGAACGACGCAGTTTAATTGGAAAGATTGAGAGGCTGTGAACGATAAAACCTCGCCGTTCCTAAACACCGTCGCCTGCTCCGAACCCCCACGGCCCTACCTGCCCTCAGCTACCGACCCGGGACCGCCACTGCATGTGTTCCAAATCTACCGGGACTCGAACCCGTAACCCCGCACTTCGCTCACACTCTTAGCCTGGCAGCCAGGCCACCGTAGGCTGCCTGGTATCTCTACGGTGCTACTGGGAGTACCTCCCGCCTGCCGAAGTCCAGAAGTGCACGTTTTTTTTCGGGGTCGGTTTCGAGTAGTTCGCCAGGAAGGAAATGATTAAAAAGACCCGTCTGGAAAGATCTAACATGTCAGGAGAGGCTATATATACTTTAGTCTCCGTAGCAGGCTTATAGAACTGGGGGTTTGGTGGTCTTCGGCTGTTTTCTGATTAGCCCCCGTAGCAGGCTTATAGAACTGGGGTTTGGTGGTCTTCGGCTGTTTTCTGATCAGCCCAGTTCTATAAAAAAAAACGGGGGTAATTCAACCAGGCCGGCTATGTTGTCTAAGTATATGCATCAGAAAATAGCACATAAAATCTCCCAAAGACCATGAAGACCCCCGAAACCCCCAGTTTTTGGCATGCTTTGGAGGCTATATATACATAGTAGGACTGAGGTCGGTACAACACTTCCTAGCGAGCCTGTAGAGAATTCTGACAAGGCTACTCAATTCACTAGCCCCTGTGTCACTAATACTGCCGACACAGGCACCAACACCACGTGTTCGCACAGCCTTTTGTTCGACTGTCAGCACGGCGTAAAGCGCTCTAAGCAAACAGAACCGCCCTTTGTAGAACGTGGATATTGATAATAACTCTCACAATGGAACAGTCGTCCATGAACATATCACTCCATCTTGACGAATTGACGGCTTAAGTGCGGTAAAGAGTGTGATTGCTGTACGCTGAAAGACGACATTCTTCTGGGTGCTAAGGCCACACCGATTTAATTTTATGGATGACATCCGCGAGAGCATTGATTTTCGCCTGTCCTAAAAAAAAAAGATAACGTCCTCCGAGGCTTTGGCCTGGCTCTCGGCCTGGGTAGTCCATGGTAGTTAGCTACAATACGAAACCTGTTGTAACTCTGGAGGATGACAGCTAGGCTACCGAAGCTCAACGACTCAACTTGAACTCAGTACATACGTACAGTGACGATTCATACATTCCGCACAAAGCCAGCATGTGCCGACTTGTCGTATATGTCGCTAAGTACTGCCGTAAATTCACAATACCAGCTTTGAATTCCTGTGGTTTAGTATCATTTTTATTTTTGGCCGGATTTTTCTTTTTTTTTCGCCCGCGCGCACTAATTTGGGGGTCTTCAGAGGATGCCATCCATAAAATTAAGTATGTGTGGCCTTAGTGTGAAAGGTAGAGGGCTCTAACGCAGTTTGTAGTACACAAAGGGAGATCACACGAGGTTAATCTTTCCTGTATTAACATGTTATTGAATTTGGGCAGCTGTTGTCGAATATATTTAGGTTTAAGGTGGCCAATTTTACTACACATTTGCCAGAGGGATTTAAGAATTACGTATACCTTATTGTAAAAAAATTGTACAAGGGACAAAAGTATAGCAACTACTGGTGCATAATTCTGACATGAGCGATCATGAGTTCTGAAAATTTGATTACAAAGACATAGAAAAAGACAGAATGAACGTAAACGTCATTCAATAGTTTGTTAAGGCCAAATAAAAACTACAAGAACAAAAAAAGAATCACAAATGAATTTCGAATCCTTATTTTCATCGAGAAAAACCATGGAAAAACTCAAACCATATAGAGAAGTTTATTGCAAATTCGTGACCGGGGGGCTAATTGCAAATTACAAACATAAAAGAACGATGAAACGTAGTATAAAATAACTAAAATCTACACGATAAAAGGTAGTTGTCTTGAGCTATAGCTATGTCTAAAACTATGTCTAAGGGGTTTGACCTCTCTTTTTTTAGACCATGGAAGACGTAATGTCCCACCTTTTCCAAAATTAGTGGGTTTTGGGAAGTTAAAAGAAGAATAGTTTTTTTCTTTGTCTGTAAGTTAGTAAAATTGGGATAAATTGTAGAAGTTTGAATAGTTAACTCATTTCGAGCGTTGCTATGAAAGGAATAATTTGAGATAAAGTGTATTTCGTTTTCCACGGCCTTTGCATTACAATATTTACAAATTCTTTCACATACATATAGCACATGAGGAATGCAGCCTTTGTGTCAGCCTAGCCGGGAGTTCTAACTTAATCCACGATTGGAACGACTTCAAAAAACGGAGATGCCACGATTTACTGTTCCAGATACGGCTCTTAATTTGACTCACGAACGTCCGTTGTCTGCCAAACTAGGATGGACGCTATTTATCAACATCATTGAAATTAATAATGTCAATATACATACTGAATGCGTACTTGTAATATAGTAAGGCCACAGCAAGTAATTTTCATGGATGACATGAGCGCGTGCATTAATTTTCGCCTGATTTTGGAAAAAAAGGAATTTTGTTGCCCTCTGACAGTGGTCAACATGCCGAAAATGGACAAAGATGTCTGTTGCCATGCCGGAAGGTGGATGGTAGATAACTATATGAAGAGAGGAGACAAGAAAAGGCTCTGATCTAATGTTTTGTTTCTTACTTTGATGCAGTGATATGTGATGCTGGCTGTGTATATGTAATGTTCCTACTGAATCAAAACCATTTGTACAATGATTGGGTCAAAATTTTGAAATGTAGGAACCTTGTTTTTTCGGCCCGTCTTGTTTTTTTCGCCCGCTCGCATTAGATTTGTAGTCTGCGGAGGATGTCATCCATAAAATCTACTTGCTGTGGGCTAATAATAGTAAAACAAGGATGACGATATAGCTTTGTATAAGATGCGAGGAATGTCAACTTCTATTTTAAACTCTAAACAACAATAACTGAATTACTATACAAAAGACCACGTAGTAATGGATTATAGTATATACTTGTACAGTCTTTGTATATATTATATACTAAGTACTGAAAATGATGGTTAACGTATTTTGTTGTTACATGTACTAGCATATCGTGTCCTACGTCAATTTGGTTCATTTATATTTATTGCTGTTGACAAGAGTATTTATTTATTTATTACATCATAAGACAACTGACTTGCCCCTACAGCTATTCTTTGCCGACTTTCAAGGGAATCCAGTGAACGAGAAAACGATACAACATGTAAAACCAGGCCAAAATCCATAGATAACATAACATGGGTACAAAAATTAGAAACACTGGGAAACATAACAAAGAAGTATATCTCTATTAGTATAATATTTCAAAATCGTGTTTGACATATTCGAGATTACATATACTATGCAATATGTAGTTTAGGCCACACCAATTTAATTTATTGGTTAACGGATTCGCCCGCTTCATTTTTTTCTGATTTGCAAATAAAGATAAAAATTCAGAATCAACTGCAAATGCTTTGCCCTGAACAGTTGAAAACAGTCCTTTTCATCCTAGTTGTTACAGTTTTCCATCTTTCAATGCAATGGTATCATCAAAAGTTCAAATTTTGAACCAGCCTGGTGTGTTGACTTCATGGCTCCTATCGTACCATTTTGGGCCATAACAGGATGCCTAGGCCTGTTTTTATTTTTTTTTCGCCCGCCCGCTCCATTATTTTTCTAGAAAAATCCGTTAACCAAGAAATTAATTTGGTGTGGCCTTAGAGGCGTTTCAGCATTTGAATGACTCCTTTGTTGTTTTGTTATTTTGTCCCACCACTTCTGACGGATTTCCTGTAAACCCCGTCTCAGACGCAGCGTCGCGACCCTGAGCCCGGTTAGTCTGTCGCCACTCCCCGGCTGAATAGAGCTGGGCCGCGGGGCTTTACAGAACTGTCAGAAGGATCAGTGACTTTATAACACATAAACAATAGCCGTGCCTTCGGGCTTGGAGGGCAAACCTGAACAGTCATGTCAACATCTTTGTATGATGTTGATATACAAGTTTTTAACAGCGCTTATATGTACATCATGGCATCCAGTGCAGTTTTAAATTTTAGGACTTGGCAGCCCGATTTTTCAAAGCCAATATTCTAGTCATTTATCTACATACAGAGTTAAAACCACACTATCCCAATGTGCATTGACCCTCTTGGAACAAAAATACATAAAATTCTGACGGAAAATGGTTACTGGAAGGGCCCTTGGCTGATTTTCAGGGTACCACCCATAAAATAAAGACCTCATCTTGGGGCTTGTTTCTGCAGATTTAAATGTCTTAAGTATGAAATACTGATTGAAATGTGCTAATGTAGGGCAGTATGTGTCAATATCATGAAAATTGCCTCATCCAGTTTTGCCGCTCTAAAATCGCATTGGATGCCTTTTAAAAGTTTCTCAGTTTTTTGCTGTGTATTTTCGTGAACTTGTGTATTTTCGTGAAATTTTCAGGAACGACTTGTGATTTTGAAAAAAAATGCAAGGGTTTTTGATCAAATGATTACGCCTACCATCAACGTAAATATGTCAAAAATGATACTAGTAATGATGCTTCCAATCCCTTCGTTGCAATAGGTAGCTTAATCGGCAAGTGGCGTTTATACAAGGTCTGACTTTGAACCAGTACGTTTTGTAACTGAATGTCCTTGCTTTGAGTCAAACGCTTTGCCATTAACAGTACTTTCTCATATTCAATGATTTAAAAGCGACAAACTGCAATTATGAAATGTTGCCTCTAGCTATAGTTTAAAATACATTCTTCTTAATTCTGCTATTAAAAATCAGAGCCTATGCCGGCTCTCCCTTCTGACCGGGGTCTCCCTTGTCCCCTTTCGGTCCCGCCAGCCCAGCCGCCCCCTGCGCACCCGTCTCCCCTGGCTCTCCCTTAGCTCCGGCTTCACCTTTCTGTCCCGTGTCCCCCTTTACCCCAGGAGAACCCACCTCCCCTGGGACCCCCTTCTCACCCTGTCTGGTATCCCCCTTTTCACCCACATCCCCCCTATCCCCCTTCAGACCGGTTACCCCCTGGATGCCTTGTACCCCAAGTTCACCCTTGTCGCCTTTCACTCCGGCAATTCCGGTCTCTCCTTTAACCCCTGGGTCACCATTAGTCCCGTTAACTCCAGGTTCTCCCGCATCCCCCTTGTCACCCTTCTGTCCAGTCGCCCCAGAAACCCCTGCTTCACCCTTCTCCCCGACGTCGCCCTTCTCCCCCGGTTCCCCCTTAACCCCTTCTTCGCCCTTCTGCCCTTGTACCCCGGTGTCCCCCTTCGCTCCCGTGATCCCCTTCTCGCCTTGCTCACCCTTAGCACCAGCTGTTCCATTAACCCCTGGTGTGCCAAGATCTCCCTTCTCCCCAGCATCACCTTTTAGGCCAATCTCTCCCTTCTCACCCATTCCCCCCTTAACGCCCTCCGTCCCAGCATCTCCCTTCTCACCCGTATCCCCTTTCAGACCCTTCTCCCCTGCTCCAGTCGCACCCTTTTCTCCCACCTCCCCTTTCGACCCCACTTCTCCCTTGATGCCTTGCGGTCCAGCTACCCCAGGCTCCCCCTGCCCTCCCATATCTCCTTTGTCTCCCT